CAAATTCTGAACATATTTTATTGTTATTTACTAGATGTAAATGCTTGACCTCATGTTCATATTATACCATAATTTTCCCATATTCTTAACTAGTCTCAAAAATATTATGAATATTATTTTTGGTTGGTATCCATGGATGACTACAGTTTGTTTAAGCTGCCACCAAATGTCCCAGACTCTTAAAAATATTTCTATGGACAGTCTATTGCCTATCTCTACTTACTTCCTTCAAATAAACTTTTAGAAGTAGAACAGCTTGATAAGAGGTTATGAGCATTTCTGAAATCTTTGCTACATAGTGTCCAATTGTCCTCCAAAGAAGGCATACTGATTTTCAATTTTTTTCAGCAATTGTAGGAGACCCTGTTTTCCTGCGAACCCAACACTAAATAAACAATTCTTAGTCTTTGCTAATTTTTCATAGTTTTTATTTATTATTAAGGGGTCAAACATTTTTATATTGTTTTTGGACTTCTGTAAGTCTTTTATGAATAAGCTGTTCGTGACATTTATCCATTTTTCTATTGAGTCATTTCCAAAACATTGCTCGGGATATTGTCAAACATTTTTATATCTTTTTTGGACTTAGGAAAACCCCCAAAAAGATATGAAAGTCTATTATGAATAGGGTGTCCATGACATTTATCCATTTTTCAGTTGGCTCATTTCTGAAACACCATTTGGGATATTAGTTGAACTTATGATCCAAGAACTGGATATTTGAAAGAGGAAACATTCTCTCTCAAGAATGTCTTTGAAGATAAACTGCAGGTTGTACTCTGTATCTGATTACATTGTAGTACAGAAAGTTATCCGCCAAGAATCAAAAAGACAAGCAGGAGAGAAGCATATGGAGCAAGTTGCTGCCCATCCTCCCCAGGTCATCGCTGGCATAGCTTCCCCACCCACTGAGAGTTCTTGTCATTAGCTGTTGTGGAAAGAGAACAGACTGAGTTGTGAATCAAGATCCTCTCACAAATAATCGTACAAAATAGCACGGCAACAGAGGGTGGCGTATCAGTTGCCACAATGATAAGAATGCTTTATGCAGGCAGAGACCTTTGAACAGCTAAAGACAGAAGCCTCTTGATACACTCAGTACAGTGATCTACTTTATCATTCATTCAGACAGATTTTTCCCCTTCATCAGGGCATCTTTTCATTGTATTTGCTGTTCAAAACCCTAGGGCACAAAGGATGCTCTTCATCTTGTGTGCTACTGAAATGAAATCTTGAGGTAGGGAAAAAAGCAAAAAAACCCTTGCCCTAAATTCCCTTTCAAAGGTGAAGTGCGAAAAGACATCAAGCAGAGGACACAGTGTTACTGCTGCAAGAAAGTCAATTCTGCGGAGTCCGAGGCCTTCAGCGGCGGTGGCTCAATCACTTCCTCACCCTCGGTGAATAATAAGAAAAATCCAAGGAGAACGGGTTCCACCTGGGGACCTGGAATTTCTCATCGTCCTTCCTCTTGATTATCACGCACATCTCTGGGCACGGCTGTTTCCTGTCTCTGAATAATCCTAAAGTCAATGCTATGACATTGGCTCCCTTCTTCCGTCTCCACGGGGCCTACTGCGCATCACCTCGTGTCCTATTCTAAACAGCAGAAATTTCACATTTATCTTTTCACTGAGCAGCAAACTAGAAAGCCTAACTGTATGATTTAGTTTGGTATTGACAGATTTAAAAATTATTTAAAAAATTGTATAGCCTTGAACATTTGGTCTTATTAAACTTTCTTGGCTATACAAATACATTTTAATTGCAAGGTCTAAACTAAGTGGTACTAAAGAACATAATCAAAAATCAAAGAAACTTTAACAAAATACTCAATTGTTATTGCATATAGATTATCCTGGGCTTTCTTTTTTATAAAGTCAGGTTTTTTTCAAACAGGGTGAAGAACTCAACCATCTCAAAATTCTTCTTGGCATTATTTTATATGCTCTGGAGTATGTGTTTATATACCAGGGCCATTGTTCTATAAGCTGCTTTAGGCTTTACTGTTTCAAGATAAAATGTATTATTTATTACATGAATGGGGTTTTAAAAAGCCATTCAAGCTTCCTGGAGTCCAGTTGAAAGGTTTATTAGTTCAATCAACAGCAGAACTTATGGGGCTAGGAAAACTGAGACAAGATCATATTTACATTCACAGCTCCTGGTAATCCCCTTGGCCTGTAGCCGTCCCTGGAAAATGCTTTTTTAGTGGAAACCTGTGCAATGAACAAATTACCAAACAAAGAATGCAGTTCCCCGACGTAGCCATTCTTTAGCGAGGCAAGGGCACGCCAGAATTTTAAATCATGATGTTAACCGTCCACACATGAAGTGTACTTCTTGTGATGAACATTTGATTTTTAAAAAATGTATGTGTATATATATATATATATAATATATATATGAGTGTGTATATGTGTGTGTGTGTACGTGTGTGTGTGTGTGTACATATGTGTGTGTATATATATATGTAAAATGTGTGTGCGTGTACATGCACAGACATTGACTAGGTCTTGCAAGGATTTTTTTTCCACAAATAATTTTGCCACGCACTCTTTTCCTAGAATCTTCCTCTCACATAGTTTCCTATCAACCTGAGAGTTAAAATCCATCTGTAAAATAACCACCAGGCTGAAAAAGAACTATATCCGTGCCTGTCCTCCACTGAGTCTCTTTTACTTTGCTGTGTGGAAACAGTAAGAACACAGAAAGCCCATGTATACAATGAGCACCCAAGGAGCACGGTGGTGCATACAGTGCGCTGCTGTGCAACTATTCTGGCTTATTTTTTCTTTCAGGTATAAAATGTTCTAGTCTAAGTTCACGGTATTCTCTGCTGAGAGAATTCTCAGAAATTTGATGACAGTCTTTTCCATATCACATCAATTCTTAGTACAAACACCAATCTCCTTCAGCACATAAAGTGAGTAAGATTTTAGAGGCTGCCATCAATTTCCTGGGTTCAGCAGGGGAACGCTGTTCTGCGAGGCCTAGAGGCAGAGAGTATTTTCCTTGTTGGGAGGTAATTTGCATCCTTGTTCTCTCCGAAGGACGCTCAGCTTACTTTGATGCTAATATTTGGTATTGTGTGATTTTGTGAATTGATTTTTTTAAAGCCTCAGGCAAAAGAACCAAAGCTTCAGTTTTCCCCTCTAAATGTCTCCTGTCTTCACTTAGTTCCGCTTTACTAGAACTGGACTTTAATCCCCAAATTTTCCATATTAGGGTTATACTGGACTAGATCTTGTAGGAGGTCTGATCATTTAAAGGTATCAAGTAATGTCGAAACACTGAATGGTCCAATGTATGTTTTCTCCCAAGGAAATACAAAACCAGACGCTATGCTCTGGAAGTGGATTTGCCAAAATTCAATCATAAAACAAATCAACCCCCCCCCCCAAAATGTCTGGGTAGGCCCAGGCACTAAGGTATCTGCCTTTTATTCCATCATTTTCAATTATCCTAATCTCCTGATTGCTTGTCTGATATTAACTAACTGAAAAAAAAAATCAGTTTCAACAAAGAGAGAGCTTTTGGCAGATGGTATTTTCATACTTTCGTAGAGGCGAAAAGACAAAAGTGCTCTTGATGGCTGGCTGGAGAATAAATAGCTACCCTTCTAGTCCAGGTAAGAGCCTGGTGGTAAAATTTAACTCTCCATTTTCCAAGTACCCCCAATTTTGCATTGTATATACTTGTTTTTAGCCAGGAAAGAATTATGCTACTTGTGTTCCTGTTATTTTATGCACAAGGTGACCAAGAGTAAGAGGGCGCAGTTTTCTACCTTCAAAGACTCAAGTTGACAACAAACTACAATTTTTTTGAAGTTAGCAAACTGTGAAATGACATCTCACACAAAAAAAGTTAGTTTGGGTAGTTATATTGACCAACAATAACTGTGATGTTATATCAGCTAAAAATTCGGAAACAAATACATACCCAAACCTTCGGATTCAAACAGACACGTTTCGTCTACCCCTAAATCTCGGCACCAGGATAGGAAATTTGCCGTATTGTCTCTGGCAAAAAAGGAGCCTGAGGGCGCGCTGGCTTTGCAGGGAATCTTCTTCAAGGGCAGATTCTGAAAAACAAAGAAACCTCACTCTGGTGGAATATCTAGCAAAGTCATCGCAGAGACACATTAAATGTACATTTACGTTGTCAACAAAACGCGTTGATAGGACCTCATGTCAATAAATAGGTTTGTGAGGAACTATAGAAAAGGACGTGAAATGCAAATGGGATGTAGCCGGTAATTAAGAGACTATGGAAATCTGTGCCTGTAAACACATCCTTGCCTTTCTAGTACCCAGAGGTAAATATACACAAGTCCCTTCCCTGGCTCAGATCACCTCTTTTCTTTCTCTTCTATTATTGCTTTGGCCTTCTCTTTCATCTAAGTTTTCTGTCAGTATTTTTCAT